TTTTTTTTATTTAAATAAGACCCTTGAGGCATTTAAAATAAAAAAAGTTATTACCCAGAATTGTCACCAGGTGTACCTCTTCTCCACCACAAGATGTTCTTAGTCTTCCAGGATGATGATGCCCAGTGAGTAGGGAAAACTCGGGGGGCTGAACTAAGCTTAGAGTTGGGTTTTAACTATATATTGATTTTGTGTCTCTAAATCTCACCTCTTAATATATTTCTACATATATTTTGCAGATTTGCTGTGAACTAAAAGCACGGGGAACAGATGTGATATTCACAGGTTGCAGTGGTATGTAAAATGATATATTACAATGGAAGAGTGTGACTTCTTTTCATATGGAAAACTAGCTGCATTTGTCTTACAGAATCTCTAAGGAAATGCCTTCATTACTGCAACTGTATAGTGGGGGAGCAACTTTTCTTTAACTCTCTAAAGAGTGCACTGGATGTCATAAAAAAGGTAGGTTTGTTTTTAAGAAATTACATCACAGTAATATTTTCTTATCATACTCATTAGTCACTTTATTATGTACATTCATCTAGTACCACATTACATAGATTTTGCTAATAGAATAATCTGAATCTGTAAGCGTTCCCCTGTAACTGCGAATCTGCCAAGCGCTATGGGGAAACGCGCTCTTCCGCGCATGTGCGGGCGCCATGGACCAGCCGTGCAAAAGCGCGCCAAATGGCGCAGAGGAAGTGACACATTGCCCTAATCACTTCCCCTATATAAACCCAGCCTGAACACCACCATATTGCTGGATTATCTTCAGCTCTCCTGTGTTCCTGTGATCTCCTTCTTGATTTGCTATGACCTGGATTTGACTTGATGATTCTTGCCTGCTGCCTGTCACTGACCTCAGATTTTTTTACTGGACTTTGCTTCTGCCTGACCCCTCTGTACCGTTATTGCTCGATTGGTTTTGACCTTGACTCGTTTACTTGGATTTCGCCTATCAAAGCCCTTGGATTTCAGCTTGCACGGTGTTATCACCACTGGCACTCGTGCCACTCGCTGTCTACTTGGTCTCTGTCCCCAACCTCAGAGTCCTCGGGACACGAGGTGCAAGGGAGGCCTCCTCACGCAACACCTGACAGAATCAGTGTTAATTCAGTCAACTAAAATGTTTCATCATAGTTTTCGTCATCTGCATGTTTCCACTGATGAAAACTAAATAGAAATTAAGTTAATAGGACTAAAACTATGACGAAAATACATTGCAAATTTATCTACTGGAGATTTAGTTGACAAAACCAAACTAAAACTAAAAGAATTCAGATGACTAAAATACGCATTTTAGTTTTAGTCGTATTTTAGTCATCTGAATTGTTTTAGTTTTGTCGACTAAATTGCCAGTAGAGAAAATTGCAATGTATTTTTTCGTCATAGTTTCAGTCCTATTAACTTAGTTTTTATTTAGTTTTCATCAGTGAAAACGTGCAGATGGCAAAAACTATGATGAAACATTTTAGTCTACTAAATTAACACTGATCTGAATTCTTTAAAACTTCAATTTAACATGGAGGAAGAAGTATTTATAGGGAATTTTCCAGATTTGTTGATCACACATTAATTTTACAAAGTTCTGTACACTGTAATTTGTGTGAGCACTTTTGGAGTCCTGCTAGCTTGAAAGTCTATTCATCTAGGTCAGGGGCGCCCACAATTTTTTGTGTTAAGATCTACTTTTTATATGGCCAGCTCAATGAGATCTACCAACGAATGGCACAGCAACGCACCACCTACAACAAAACACAGGGTAGGTGTGATTGCGATGAACGCACTGTACTATTATGAATGGTCCCTTAGTTAGACCTAGCACTCTTATCAGAGGAGGTAAACTATGGGACTGTTACCCGTAAAGGTAAAATAAAACCTATTACCTATAATTAAAAAAAAAAATAACGCTCCTAATCTCAGTCTGTAAGTGAGGGCACAGTACTGTTAGGTGGGTGCTTGGTGTGTAGGTGGGGGCACAGTCCTGTTAGGTGGGGGCACAGTCCTTTTAGGTAGGGGCACAGTCTGTTAGGTGGGGGCACAGTCTGTAGGTGGGATACATGGCTGTGTACAGTGGGTAGAGATAACACAGGCTGTGGTACACAATGCCCCCTCACTCTGATAAAGACCACCACTCACCCTGCCCAGGCCTGTGTAGGATTTGTGTCCCCCAAGGAATGGGCTCTCAGATTCCCCCATACGTTAGAAGCTGCATGCTGAGCCACGGCTTCCTGTGTCAGTGGCTGTGCCAGGTCACAGCGCTACCTGCTGGCCAACACAGCAAACTGCACCCGGCCACCAGCAGTTGAGCTCCCACATAAATGGAGCAGCTGATTCTACCAGAAACAGCTTTGCGATCGACTGGTAGATCACGATCGACCATCTGGGCATCCCTGATCTAGGTCATCTGAAATCCAAAATCCTGCAACCACCATGTCTGGCAACAACAGTGATACAATGGCCAAAGTTATTTACATCACAAATCCTACTCATTCTAACATTTGGTCAAGCTACAATTAAACCTCTTCAGCGTACCTGCTTTGTTTCCTCTTTTCTCATATTGATATGAGCCAACATAATTCACAGGTGCATGCATAAGTTCAATCATGTGAGATATTATCTGTATTGTATAAGGGACCATTCACACTGGTCATGTATGATTTTATGTGTGTTAATAAGCGCTACCAGTCAATTCAAAATAAATGAGCTGTCTTAAAGCACATCTAAACCCAAAACCAAAAATATTATATATTGCAGCTTACCAACCATTAAATGTGGTGGCTACGTTAGGCTTTTCCCCCATTATTTTCACCTGGTGATCCGGCCAGAAACACACTTCCTGTCTTAGAGTGCCCACGCTCTATAGATGAGCCACCATTGAACAATTGCATTGTCAATGTGTGGAGAGGGTAGTGTTGGATGCACTAGTAAATGTATATGTATTTAACTAACAAATTAAATCTGAACTCCAGCTAACACTTTAATCAGTTACAGCAAATGTTTTTTCCATTTTGGGATAAAGTTTTTTACATAAATTAATAAAAGCCTACTAATTGTAAGCATCCCTGTTAGTGTTAAATGGCTTGTCTTAACCCTCTATTTTCCACTTTTGCTGGACAGCTTGGTCTTTTAAAGGACATGGAAAAAAACAAGCCCTACTGGCTGGATCACCAGCTGAAAATAAGGGGGGAAAAGTCTAAAAAAAATAATACAGCCACCACATTTAAGAATTGGTTTGCTGCAATATAATACATTTTTGCTTTTGGGTTTAAATATTGGGTCACCTTAACATGTAGTAACCGTTGCATTATGACAGGCGTGTTAATTGAATGTATAGAGTGAATGGGCCCTAATGTTTTCCTTTGTTGCAGGAGTGTGGGTCAAATTCAGAAGCACTCGAATCATCCAGCGTATAGGCCCCCGAGACCGCATTCTGTGTACTCCTGAAGATATTCCTTGTTTTTGTTCTGTAAAATGTCAGTTGTGTCCATTTAGCTCATTTTCTGGCTAAATAACTGACACTAGGCTGAGACTGTAAATATCTTCAGATCATAATTTGCTTTTATCATGCTTACTGTCTCAGCAACATGACAAGTGAATGGACAACTCCAATATTGAGGGAAATACCCATCTTTCACTGTCCTGTCATTGGAAGAAGTCACCCCATTGGAAGATTTTCCCTCATCTCCTGTTCTGAGGACAACTGTAGAAGTTTGGATTTCTCTTCACTTCCTATCCTAGAAAAATAGACACAGTAATAAATATTGAGAAAGGGTCAACTAGGGCAGGTAGGGACACTGATGAAAACTTGACAAAGGTTTTAACCCTCTCCCTACTTTATTCAAAACTAGAAAAATTAGGGCTGGGTTTCTGCTTTAAGCTTCAATTTTAATAATAGACATAAGGGAGTCTGTTATGTATGACTTGTATTTTACACTTTTAAATCATACTGACTTATGTGCTGAGCTCACTCCATTTTCAATAATGCGTTTCCTTCTAAGTAAATATGAGATGTGTGTATTCTCTTATATTTGAGGAAATAGATTGTTCTGAATTAGTATTTCTAGGCTATTTGACAAAGGGGTCTCTTTATAAATAATTTGTAGAGCCATTTACCCTGTGAATCTCTGTGAACGTTCATCCTGTGTTAACAGAGGCATAAACAAATATTCTTAGTATATTGTCTTTTCAGGTTAAATGTAATATAATGTAATGCTGCATTATGGCCACTAGATGGAGCTGATGAGCATAGGAAATACATACTTAATTAATGTGCTCCGTAGATCCATCCCATGGCAATAATTGAGTATTACATTACATTACAGTTGACCTGAAAAAAATATATTAACAATATTATTTTTCCCCTTAATTTACACAGAAGAAATGTTCACAGAGACTCACAGAGTGATTGGCTCTGCAAATTGTTTATAAATAGACCCCAAAGTGTGCAATTTTAAACAGAGAGCGCAGGACATTGCTCTAATTTCTACACATTGATACTTAATTTGTAATTTTACTTATAAAATGCAGGATGCGATGTGGAGCCTGAGGTGTTTTGTGTTCTCTGCATAATGCTGCATAGAACACTTTTAGATAGGAGGAGAGCCCTGCCATTTGACCTATCAAAATCATGTGATGTTCATCATGTGAATGAAACCTTTTTTGCTTTAAAGTTCCAAAGCAAGCAATGTGCTAAGCACAATTGAATTGTAAACAGTGGTGCGTTATAAATGTTTTGAAAGATTTATTTTGCTACACTCGCTCTTACATTTGTGTATTATTAGAAAATTCTGAAATTCAGTAAGGACTCATGAGTTATAAAAAGCCAAATGCTGCCAATTACGGGTGGACAACAGTGAGTTTAAATGTTTTATCCCTCTGATGGTTAGTTTTTCCAACAACAATTTGTGTCTGCACCACCCTCCTACTGTATCACTCTGACATAGCTGAATGCTCAATATATTAATGTGACTCTTCAAATTAAAGAGCTTCCTGCAAAGAAGACACAGAATACCCACCTCCCTTGCTGCCTGTGCCGCCAACCTCTGCAGTAGTGTAAGCACAGAAAGAATACGACACATCCAGGAATGTCCATTTCCTGATCCCCTGCAATGCACTTTGGGTCCTGACTCCTGCCACCAACCCTTATGCCACTAACAGGGCACAGTAGTGACATAAAAGCCACTGGATCAAACCACTAAGCACTGAGACCAGGCGTCTAGAAACCTAGAAGTGTCAGGTGGAGAGTA